TATAATATAATATAATATAGTAAAAGTGTAGTAAAGTGAAGACCAAGTGTCACCCTTCTTCTTCCATTCACTCATATACAGGTCCTTCTCAAAAACTTAGCATATTGTGATAAAGGTCATTATTTTCCATAATGTTATGATAAAAATGAAACTTTCATATATTTCAGATTCATTGCACACCAACTGAAATATGTCAGGTCTTTAATTGTTTTAATACTGATGATTATGGCATACAGCTCATGAAAACCCAAAATGCCTGTCCCAAAAAATTAGCATATTTCATCCCACCAATGAAAGACAAGTGTTTTTAATACAAAAAACGCCAACCTTCAAATAATCATGTTCAGTTATGCACTCAATACTTGGTCGGGAATCCTTTTGCATGAATGACTGCTTCAATGCGGCGTGGCATGGAGGCAATCAGCCTGTGGCACTGCTGAGGTGTTATGGAGGCCCAGGATGCTCCGATAGTGGCCTTAAGCTCATCCAGAGTGTTGGGTCTTGCGTCTCTCAACTTTCTCTTCACAATATCCCACAGGTTCTCTATGGGGTTCAGGTCAGGAGAGTTGGCAGGCCAATTGAGCACAGTAATACCATGGTCAGTAAACCATTTACCAGTGGTTTTGGCACTGTGAGCAGGTGCCAGGTCGTGCTGAAAAATGAAATCTTCATCTCCATAAAGCTTTTCAGCAGATGGAAGCATGAAGTGCTCCAAAATCTCCTGATAGCTAGCTGCATTGACCCTGCCCTTGATAAAATACAGTGGACCAACACCAGCACCTGACATGGCACCCCAGTGACTGTGGAAACTTGACACTGGACCTCAAGCAATGTGAATTCTGTGTCTCCTCTCTTCCTCCAGACTCTGGGACCTTGATTTCCAAAGGAAATGCAAAATTTACTGTAATCAGAGAACATAACTTTGGACCACTCAGCAGCAGTCCCAGGCGAGATGCTTCTGACGCAGTCTCTTGTTCAAGAGGGGCTTGACCTGAGGAATGTGGCACCTGTAGCCCATTTCCTGCACATGCCTGTGCACGGTGGCTCTGGATGTTTCTACCTCAGACTCAGTCCACTGCTTCCGCAGGTCCCCCAAGGTCTGGAATCGGCCCTTCTCCACAATCCTCCTCAGGGTCCGGTCACCTCTTCTCGTTGTGCAGCGTTTTCTGCCACACTTTTCCCTTCCCACAGACTTCCCACTGAGGTGCCTTGATACAGCACTCTGGGAACAGCCTGTTCGTTCAGCAATTTCTTTCTGTGTCTTACCCTCTTGCTTGAGGGTGTCAATGATGGCCTTCTGGACAGCAGTCAGGTCGGCAGTCATGATTGCGGTTTTGAGTAATGAACAAGGCTGGGGGGTTTTAAAAGCCTCAGGAATCTTTTGCAGGTGTTTAGAGTTACGTTGTTGATTCAGATGGTTAGGTTAATAGCTTGTTTAGAGAACCTTTTCATGATATGCTAATTTTTTGGGACAGGCATTTTGGGTTTTCATGAGCTGTATTCCATAATCATCAGTATTAAAACAATTAAAGACCTGACATATTTTAGTTGGTGTGCAATGAATCTGAAATATATGAAAGTTTCTTTTTTATCATTACATTATGGAAAATAATGACCTTTATCACAATATGCTAATTTTTTAAGAAGGACCTGTATGCTACAATATATTGGACAGGTCTCACTTGTAAATGAGTCTTCGAGGCTTAATGTGGTTTATCTGTATAAGTAAAGGTAAAGTACATAAAGGTTGAAAAAAAAGCTTCCTGTTCAGTACTGCAGGTGCCTCTAAATGGGGAGTTTGGTACAACTGCTTCAACTCTTCTGGCATTGCGTCTTTGGAAAATGTGTCATGCAGAAAGTAAACAGTACCACAGTCTGACAAAAGCTCTTATAATAAAATCTTTTATTTAATTTTAATTATGTAGACTAATATTTCCCACAGTCTCCAGCTTCATCAGCACTGGACTGATCTTTAAAGAACACCAAACATACCAAGATCAAGCTGCAGATGGAAACGGAAAGAGGAAACGCAGATAGACCAAAATAATTTGACTTTTCAAATAGATTTATATTGCTTTAATTTATAGAATATATTCTTATATATTTTTGTTTGAAGCAATAAAGACTTTTTTAATCGTTTTATTTAATAATGCCGCTATCCAGCATGAAAATGTGAAAAAGTATTTACTTTTGTTTTACACAAAAATGGTTTCTCCAAATTCAGTCCAGCTCTTGGGACACAATAGTTTATTTTTTTTTAACAATTGTGAATTTTAGGAAACCATCAGTGGCGTAGCACTTGATAAGAAACTACTCAGATGAAGAATATTTGAACCTTCATCTAAAGTAATAAAGTAAATGCAGGCAACCTGTGCCATTTCAATGTAATCCCCAATTCATGCTCCAGCTCTACAGTATACTGTAATAATCTCTCCGGAACGTTTCAACACTTCAGCATCTTCATCTTCACACACTTGACAATCTTCTTGTAAACTGAAATATGAGTGTTTGTTTCCAACAAAATATTGATTCAGTTCATGTTTGCATTGATGTTCTGATTTCTGTGTTATGCATTTTACTTCATTTAGCAGATATGCATCCCCTGGTACATACTTACATAATTTAAAACTGACCTTTCCCCTTTGTGTACCTTCAGAAACAGTTAAGCTTATTTTTTCCAGTGAAAAAGATGGTAAATGGTAAATGGACTGTACGTATATAGCGCCTTTCTATTTTATCAAGATACTCAAAGTTCTTTACACTACAATCTGTGCCCTCATTTACCCATTCACTCTACTAGATCTATACAAAGCTAACTGAACAAATCATCCTAAAGAGACTAATCAGTGCTTTAGATCACATTCATACACTGATGGGACACACATTGGAAGCAATGAGGGGTTCAGTGTCTTGTCCAGGGACGCTTCGGCATGTGACTCCTTGTGGATTCGAACCCCCATCTCTTGTATTGGAGGACGACTGCTCTAACCACTCAGCCAAAGCCACCCACAAAAAAATATTTATATATAACAATTATGATTTTATTTTTAAAAAAAGTATTTTGTCCAACAATATGTTTGATCTTTTTTACTTCAGTATTTGGTTTTAGTTTAATTTGTGTTTTGTTTTGTTTTTGTATGCAAATTGGTAAGCCGGATCTTGTATTGTTTTGTCATGTACTAACAAGTTGGTTTGAAATACACTTTTATTCATAATTTAGGCTGTAAAATATAGTTTTAAAGTAAATGTCTACCATGCACTCTACAAACCAGACGAATAAAGGCACAATGAGGTTTCATCATATATGACACAACATTCATAAGGGCTTTTAGGCCTAAAACTACCATCACAAAAATTAAGCCATGAACTGTATTATTATATTAATGTGCCTTCTGAAAGATGACTTCCTGTATGTTGGGAAACAATAGATTATTTCCAGGAATTGGCAAAATATTCTGAATACCGACATGTGATTTGACTGTTCATCTTGTTAAAATGTTTTGTCCGTTTTGTTGGAAAAACCTGTCAGACATTCACCTGACTGTTATTTTGACATTTGCCACCTGCATAATCATAATTTCTCCTGACTAATCAATCTAATCACCCTTCAACTGACTGGACCCAAAGGTTCTGTTGCTGATGGCTCAGTTCGAGACACACAAGGAAACGCTCAGATGTTTTCTAGTTCATGTCCCAATTGATCAAATCAGTCTTCTCTCACAAGCAAACATACTCAGTATTAGACAAATGATCAAAGTATTCTGACTGATGAGAGTATAGTTTAATTTGATAAAAACTGCGGCTCCACCCTGAACAAAGTTAACTGCTATTTGTATAATTTTATGGGATGACTGAATCATGTAAACCACTTAAAATCACAGAACTCTGTATAAAACTGGCAACAATGTTCTTAAATAAACCTATCTGATGATTTCAACTCAAAGGATTATTTTTATTTTAGGTTGATGAAAAATGCTAATTTCTTCATGGGGGGAAGAAAAACATTTAAATCAGTCAGTATATTTACCTATAATATCCACTCATAACTGATCAAGCCTGCATATGATGTGTACACCCTAATGTAGCATGAATGATTCATAAACGTTCCAGCTGCAGGTTGCATCATTATCAGTTCATCTCAATATATCACGTTCAACTGGTTTTAGCAGAAAACGCCAACACTGAAGCTGTGTTTAGTTCATTTGTTAAATACCGTAATTTTCGGACTACAAGGCGCACTTAAAATCCTTTAATTTTCTCAAAACTCGACAGTGAGCCATATAATCTAGTACGCCTTATGCATTAATGTGTTTACTGACCTCGAGCTGATTTTATGTGGTTATTGTGAATGAGTTGAATAAAGTCTGACATATCCGACTGTTGTTTTCTTTTGTTCGTTTGTTTGTTTGTTAGCTTAATGCGCCTTATAATCCAAAAAAATACGGTACCAGAATATCCAGTTAAAACCTTCAAAAACAAAAATTACAAGCTTATTGATGATATTTGCTGTTTGTGTTATATGTTTTTGTTATTTCACATGTAAAGAAATGATAAAAAAAAAACTATTTATTTAAAAAAGTCTGTTTGTTAACCTAATGTTTGATGGATCCTGAAATGAGCTGCCACTGATGGAGCCCAGCTGATGCTCAGCAAAAGGAGATTAGCTACATGATGTTCTTAGGCTGTACATGCTCATTTACACTGTGATATATATATACGTTAACCATCTGCAAGAAGAATTTGGTCCTCTCAGCACAGACAATATCGGTAATGGTTGTGTTTACCTTGTCAGTCGTGGTAACTCACAAAAAAATAGTTTCCTGGTTCAGGAAATCGTTTTGATCTTTACTGTATCCTAATGACATCTACAAAGACATGTGGACAGATAATTTTCATCAAAGAAAATGTTTTTGTTGTTGTTCTAAAATTAAAACAATGTCTTTTGTTCCAAGAGCTGATATGACATCAGCTGTGTGTGAAAAGAGATGAATAACCAGCAGGTAAAGAAGATGAAGTCTCTTGGAGAGTACAAATATTAAAAATGAGGTCTGAAGATAAAAGTCTGCCTTTGTGCACTCCTGTTGAAGTACAATGGGAGCAGAATTTAAAACTCAAACATGTCATTCTGCTTCATGGCCAGCTTCGCCACCTCCTGCCTTATAGCTTGCACGAGCGCTGAGGTGGAGAGGCTGCTCAGGGGCATGCTGTCCATGTCCTTCAGCACCTGGGGCAGACTTTGTTCAGATGCTGTGCTGGGGGCAGCAGGAGGCTGCTCCAGAGTCTGGTTGTACTGTAGTGACAGCCTGCTGGGGCTCCCTTTTGGGTAACGAGGATTAGGAAAAGCCTCTACATACCCGGGCAAAGGTACCTGAAAAAACCAAAGGAGACAGGGCATCAACAAATATCAACCTCAATACAACCACGCCATTAGGTTAAGGGAACAGGTTATCCTGCTCCATTATTTAAAAAAAATAAAAGGATAATAACTGATAAAAATGTTTTATTGATGGACCAAAGTTATATACAAAACATAATAAAAAAGCAGATATAAAAATACATTAAATAGCTGTGTGCTTTGCAAGAAAATAAAACTATTTTTGAATATAAAAAGTTTTTTTTTAAATCTATATCGGCCCTGCATTTGAGTCGGTGCATGTCTAAGCTGCATAAAGTTTTTGTTAAAACATGCACACAAAACAGGCAAAAAAGCAATTATTTCAGGAACAAAATTTAAAGTTCAATGGAGAAAAAATCATGAGTGACAACAACATATCTGGTAAGAAATCTCTTGTTTTATGTCATAAAGGAGAGAACGAGAAGAATGCTTCCAAACAAAAAGGATCACAAGTGCAATTATTGGGACATTCTGCAAAATATGGAGCACTATTTGGACAAAATAATAAATAAACTGTAAGATGTTTGAGTTTTCTTCTATTTGTAGCCTTTGCATTGCACTGACAGAATGATAACAACATTTTTTGTTTCGAACATTAGGATACATTTCCAAACAGAAATAACTTTTGTTCTATTCATAGCATGTCTACAAGTTTTCCAATAATTAGATAAATCTGTTATCAGCATGTTTTACAACAATCACGCCATAATTTTTTCTTTAAAGTGTTTAATAATAGAGATAAATTTAATATGTGAAACTTGATCAGCTGTTAGAGGGTCAACAAAATGTAATCTCAACATCTTGATCATGTTTTTCCACTAAAGTTGTCTGTGGGCACAACTCACAGGCCAGAAGTATTGGGGGTGCTTACAGAGTCTGCCCATTGTGGCGCAACATCCTCAGGTTCTGGTGGATAAGACATCCAAGAGGGACTGTGATAGGATGTGGGCGATGTGGGGACAAAATAATCTGAGTAGACAGTCTTGGTGGCTGGGATGGCGTACACGGCTGTTATTGGGTTTCCTGTGGCAAAGAAAGATTGTGATATACATTGATTAATTTATTACAAGAAGCTTAATTTAGTCAAAGCAAAGTGATTACTGCCATCATTTGAAAAGCTAAGGCCTTCTCATATTTGCTTACCTGAATAGTTTACAGGCTGTTCTGCAGTGATAGGTGAAAGTGCTGCTCTAGTGGTTGACCCATATGGGTTGCTCTCATGTTGACTCCGCAATTCAGCGACAGATGTTTCTGAGCTCCTTCCCTTGGGCCCCAAGTCTGACGTAGAGCTACGTTGGACAGATATTAGTGAGAAATGATGAGAAACTGCTGCAATACTATACCACTAGATGGCAGACACATCCCATGTGGGAAAGTGAATGCCACATTAACATTCTTGGCACAGCTCTATGCCCTAAATTAATATTTAAAAAAAATTATAGAAGGCCTTAAAGCACCCTGGCCACAACGTGTCTCCTCGTAGTGCCTAAATATGAATTTCAATATGATTAAATTGAGACTGTCATAAAGGTTTGCAGCAGGCAAAGTGTGTCTATAGTTTGTGTCTATAGTCTAAAGTTCAATCTGGTCCTCTGGACCAGATTGAACTTTTTTGGATTTTTCTACCTGGATTATTGAGCATGCATCAGGATGTATCTATAGTTTGTTTTGCCAAATCTCAATTGTCACAGCAAACATCATGTCCAGTGTGATGTGTAATGTACTTCATTTTTTCACAACAAGCATAAGAACACATCGTATGCTGCAGACTCAATAACTATAGTTTTATGCCACCATATATGGGAACACGAATAGTTTATTTATGATTAAAGAACTGGTGAAAACTGATGAATTGGCTTCTTGAAGAGGCATTCAAATTAGCTGCAGAATATTTTAATGGCTGCTCTTTATTACTTTAAATTAAGAGCCATAATGGTAGGGGCAGTGCAGGCGTTTGTGTAGGGGTAGGGTAATTACTATGAAATAGGATTTGACCTTAGACATTAGACTTCTTACCAAGTGCTTGCTCAATGGGGAAATGTTGCATTGCTTTATGCCCCACATTGTGCTATGCAATGAGTTTTGGTGCAGTTACAATTTTTTTTTTTTTTTAAGCATTGACCAGATTTCATTTTTTCATCTGCTATTGCAAGGATTTTATCAATAATAAATTAGTAAAGCAATTTGAATTGCCAGAATTATGAATCGTGTGCTATGAATGACTGATCTGTGTTTTTTCAGCTTTACCGTCTTAAAGAGGTTTTGGGAGGGGGCCCGGTGCGAGGTGGTAAAGGAGGAGGCGAGCCCAAGGCCATCTCAGGGAGCTGAGTGAAGCGAAAAGCCTTTAAAAGACACAAAGTTATTTAAGGGGAGAGTTTCTCTACTATGGGTCACTAGAAAAGCTACACAAGCTTAACCCACTTACTGGTTTAGGCAGACTGCACTGATACACATCTGCTGCATAAGATGGTACCCACTGCAGGCCGCCAAGCCCAGAGCTCATGGTGCCTGGAACACTGGTTACCATGTCTGCATATGCAAGTGGAGGTGGTGCTGAGTTGTAGTGGTCAGAAGAGTTTTGGTGGTGGTGGGAGTGCCTTCCAGTTGTGGACTGCCCCCCAGAAGCCAGGCTGAATGCCTCCTCCAGCAGCAGGTGCATTTGCTGTCGTACTTTATCGATAGATGGCTGGGAGCTCAAAGTGGACGTCTCCGAGTGGTCTTTTAATCCCCTCCCGTACGTGTACCGCCGTGAACCCATGAGATGATCAACATTTGTCTCCTTGATTATCTCTGGCTCAGTCTGTAACACACAAATTACACGAAAACCACTCTTTGGTGAGACTGAACTCGCTTTCTTCTAAACCTTCACAAGTAAACGGAACAGCTTGAAGCATAATGTCACACAAATCAGCAAAATTTAGACACAAAGCTAAACAAAGGTTGTTTTGTTTTAGTTTTTGGGGTTGAATTTGTGGCAGTGATACAATTCTACATTAGAACATTGTAGCACCATAATGCTCCTTATCGTCTCTGCTCTTTAAACACAATTCATTTCCTCTCATGGTTTTTAATCTTGCCCATCTTTTTTTTTTTTTTTCTGTTACAGTGTCCATCTATGGTGCTTCTGATCTCTGTGACAAATTTGTACAATCGGAGGCTGCCCTACTTCCTGTGTGAAAAGAGGGCAGCCACAGGAGACAGAATAGTGCACCTCATAAATCAGCCCTCCTGGAACATGAAAACGCAGGGAATCACATCTGCAGCCAGAACAGTCTCTTTGTATTTAACAGGTTCTGAATTTATTTTTAAAATAACAATTAAAAAAACACTACCACTTAACTTTTTAACTATTACTATTGTGCCATATTTCTTGCCATTCTGTCTTTGTTTCTACTTCCTGTTCCTCTCAAACCCAGGCGGTAGAAGCAGATGGCCGCTCGTCCTGAGCCTGGTTCTGCTCGAGGTTACTTCCTGTTAAAAAGGAGTTTTTCCTTTCCACTGTTGCTTTTGTGCTTGCTCAGGATGGGAGACTGAGGCCAAGTGAAGGTTCAACACAATCTGCTGGCTTCCTTTGATAGATAACTTTTACTAATTGGCTTTTATAAGGTATGTGAATGTCTCTATTCAGTGCCCTGAGACAACTTCTGTTGTGAATTGGTGCTATATAGATAAACTGAATTGAACTGAATATTTCCAACAGAGTTGAACAGCTTGATACACAGAATTCAACTAAAGTACAAACATACAGTAGATCATGGTAGTGAAAATAATAGAACACAATTTTTCTATAGAGTCCATCTCCAGAGTCCATTTTGGGGTTTCAGTTAAATCTCAAATATTATAAACATTTAAACAGAAAAGACAAAGAGGGTGTCAAAAGTTTAATTTGCCTTTGAAGGAAAAGGTCAACATTAATCCACACAGAGGCTGTTAGAGTATATTTAAATTGTGTTGGATGGTTCGTTATGTTCGAGATCAGATTTTAGTTCCGTTTTGGTCATTATGTTTTTGTTATTCTAGTGTTCTCTTACTTGTGTTATTTTTACCTATACCATACTATACCATACCATACCATTTTATTTATAGAGCACTTAAAACAGCGACAAGGCCAACCAAAGTGCTGTACAGACAGAACAACAGGCAACACACAAAGCAATATACAAAATGAAGTAAATCAGAAATATAGACATAAAAATGATGCAGATAATGTCGACTGACCAGTGTGAAGCATACAGGTTCAAAACACAGATCCTCTGATACCTGATCAGTCTGTCATCAGTTCAGTTTCCCCTGCATACATTCTGCTCCTCAGACTTGCCACGCCCACTTTCACCCGTTCCTGTTTTTGTCATCAGTTCAGGTGTTTCTAGTTCAGTTCATTGATCTGGTTTACTATATGCTGTGTTCCCTCTCATAGTTAGTCTGGCATTGATGGCCATTAGTTCAGTGGTGTACAGGTAGTCTACATCTTTGTAGTGGGTATACTGCGCTTAAAAACCAAAGTACATTGGTAAGTACAAGTTATGTAATCATCAATTTATTTTGATTTTTAAGCATATCGAACATTTCCAAAATTCTCTCATGATTACTGTATATTTGAATCAATGTAAAACAAACTTTGTACAGCTGTTGGCTTTGTATTAAAAACATGTTATAGAATTTATAAAACAGTATCAAAGCAAAGCATGTTCAAGTATTAAGTAGTACCGGTAAGTACAGAATTATACAATAATTTGCTGGATAAGCGAATGTAATAAACAAGCGCTGCATACCGATAGAGTGTTACGGAAGCATTTAACTGCCGTTTAACGTGTCAATGACAGATGCCCAATGATATGTTATGTATCATTGGGTACTTTTAAGTGGGTATACTGAAATTCTTAAGCTTTTCTAGTGGGTATACTCCGTATGCCTGCGTATCGTGTAGACTACACCACTGCTTTAGTTAATGTTAGGGGTTTAGTACTCTTGGTTCATGACTGAAAAGATGTATACAGAATAATATTGGAGCAACAAACAAATGAAGTCATAAAACACCAAATCTTGGATGTTTCAGTATAAATCAATACCCTAGAAATGTATAAATGTTTACTTTTAATTATAAATTACCCATTAATCTTCCTTCAGACTGCTGAATACAGGAAACAGCACCTCTCTGATCTATAAATTCATTCAGCCTCTTCAGAGACACGGTGAGAAAAAGACAACACTGATCATTTATGACTTTTACAGCTTGCATGGGGGATCTCGTGCAGCCAGTAAGAACAACAGAAATAATATATATACTTGGTCAAAGAGCTTTTTATAGGGCAGCAGAGTATAAAAATAATTTAGTTTTTTACTGCTAATTGGCTGATCTAGTTGGACAGAGAGTGTTTGTGAGTTTCCAACATGCGACTTACATCATAACCACTGTTTCTGATGCCTCTTCTGGGTCGCTCTCTCATTACAAGCAGGTCCATCTCTGTTCCTCCGGGGTTTGGACTGCTCAGGCTTTGTCTGCTGCAATAGGCCATTTGTCCTACCTGGGACTGCCTGCCAATTAGAGTAAAAGTAGTGGATTTACTAGAAGTCAAACCTGAAGTGCAGGAGTTATTGAATCAAAGTGTTTAAATTACTCTTTCAACTTTCATGCACCTGCAGGGAAAGATAGTAAGGAAATGTCTGCTATAATAAATTGTCTTGGGCTCTATGCACCATGATGTACAAGGTAAGGAAAAGAATTGGAGTCCCTTGGGAAAAGCTACATGTTTTGGCACAGATAAAATAGGTATTGTATTGTATAAATACATTAAATGAATTAAGCTGCACACAAACGGATAAATCATCAAAACAGAGTCAAATGAAGCCATTTTCTTTACCTACATCATACACAGATAATAAAACTGCTTGTTGAAGAAAATCACAGACTACACCCATCCATCCATTATCTTTACCCGTTTATTCCATTTTGGGTCACGGGGGTCGCTGGTGCCCATGTCCAGCAATCACTGTGCGAGGGGCGGGGTACACCCTGGATGGGTCGCAAGTCCATCACAGGGCCACATAGAGACAAACGAGACAAACAACCATTCACTCTCTCACTCACACCTAGGGACGAGTTAGAGTTATCAATCAGCCTAACATGCATGTTTTTGGTCTGTGGGAGGAAACCGGAGCACCCGGAGAAAACCCACGCATGCACGGAGAGAACATGCAAACTCCACCCAGAAAGGCCCCTGGACCGGGGTTTGAACCAAGGACCTTCTCGCTGAGAGGGAGCAGCTCTACCAGTTGCGCCACCGTGCTGTATGCATCTAAGTTATTTTATCTGTTGTTTGTTGTTGATCTTGCTCTACAAATAATTTTGAACATTACTGCTGTGTTCTTTGGAACCAAATATAATAAACCAGATGACACCATTGCTTTAAAATACATCGCATACTGGTGGTTTTATTTGTTTGTTTGTTTGTTTTTGTTACATTTAGTACCATTAGATGATATATACATATAGGATAATGTAAACAGGACTGTCAGAGTTGCAATGAGTTTATGTTAGATGGATTAATAACCTGATCATCTGACTGTTGATTGCAGTAATCCACATTATTAGCAGAAATAGAGGGCCCCAAATCAAATTTCACTTATGGCTTGGGTCGGCACTGTGCTGAGCGATACTTGCAATAACTAGTAGAAGAGGTCTTGTGGATACAAGATGATACATTGCGGGCAGCACGGTGGCACAACTGGTAGAGCTGCTGCCTCTCAGCGAGCAGGTCCCTGGTTCAAATCCCAGTCCAGGGGCCTTTCTGGGTGGAGTTTGCATGTTCTCTCCATGCATGCGTGGGTTTTTTCTGGGTACTCCAGTTTCCTCCCAGTCCAAAAACATGCATGTTAGACTAATTGGTAACTCTAAATTGTCCCTAGGTGAGAGTGAGAGAGTGAATGGTTGTTTGTCTCGTTTGTCTCTATGTGTCCCTGTGATGGACTTGCGACCTGTCCAGGGTGTACCCCGCCCCTCGCACAGTGATTGCTAGACATGGGCACCAGCGACCCCCATGACCCAAAATGGAAGAAGCGGGTAAAAGATAGTGAATGGATGGATGATACATTGCAACAAAGAGGAATCCATTCAGAGAACCTGACTTAACCTTGTTAGATGTAGCTACCTGGATTATTGAGCATGCACCAGAACATGTGTGTGTATACAAGTCTGTGCTCAGGTGCATCTGCAAAGAAGGACAGAACAGATGTAGTGAATCATCCAGCACCCTGCCAATCCTCTTATCTCTATAATAGAATATCTGGACCAGAACTATACAAATAAAACTGCCCTCTAAGATAGCATAACCCCAACCCCAGAAGAAAGGATGTCATGTATCTACAATATAAGCTGATTTGGGAATGCAGGGTTTTAAGCAGGGATGAGTAACTGGCCATGGTTAAAAGCCCATCATCCAATTCAAACTCCATGTCACCTGTAGCACTCTCTGGCTGAGTAACTGTGTGTGGTGAAGCTTTGCTTTCTGTTTACATTTGTCCAAGGTTCCACTTGCTTTTCCACTCTTCCCTCACCTCCTGTGAGACTTGACATAAGTGGAACCTCGCTCATCATCAGGCTCCAGATGTCTGCCATGCTCACCGGCTTCCCTCTCATAGCCGTTCCACTGTTTCTGCGACGGGGTCTGACCTCCATTGCTGCTGCCGTTGGTGGACTGGAAATCATAATAGCCCTTCTTCTTAGCTTTCAGCCTCAACTTATTTCTGTAGTGCTCAATGTCTGATTTCTGCTTTAAGGCCAAGTTGACCTGCAGAGAAAATATAACAACAAATCATAGCAAGATCAAAAGAACAAATCAAAAGGTAGAAATTTAGTTTTGCTTTTTATGATGAGATTCTGATTTTGAAATTAAAAAGTATACTGATGAAAGAACATAATTTCTGGAAAAATATCTAGACAAAAATATAAGCTCTTCTATTAAAAATACTTTAAAAACATTAACATTGGTTACAGTTGTCCTCAGTGTCATATTTTGTGTTGATCTTTGGATTTTAAGTTATTGCTGTTCAGTCACAGCAAATAGACCAACAGGCAAATGTCAGTTGTCAAGAAGTCATGGCTATAAGTTATATTATAAAATGAATAGTCCTATCTTTAAGTCATCCAGATGCAGGAAGAGGGCCACATGCATCATGAAGGACCCCACTCACCCAGCATACACACTTTTTCCCCGCTCCCCTCAGGAAAGAGGTTAAGGAGCATTAGGTGTAGAACCACTAGACTAAGGAACAGCTTCTACCCTGAGGCTGTGAGACTCATGAATCTCTAACCAGGATAATCAATGTGGAAAAAATCACATCATGTTGCTGCTGATCTGTTTCATGTTGCTGCTGATATGTTTCATGTTGCTGCTGATCTGTTTCATGCTGCTGCTGATCTGTTTCATGTTGCTGTGTTCATTCGTGCTCATCTGCTCACACAGACTCATGTTTGTGCTTCTGTTCGGCGTTTTGTTTTTATGCTATTAGTGCTTAGTGTAGTTTTACTTAACGTTTTTCTTAGTTTACATCTGAGATCTTATTACTGTTTTTCTTTTACATTTCATTGTTGGATGTAACTGGGACCCTGTGTGCATAATTTCGTTCCACCACATGTACCATATGTGGTGCGAATGACTAAAGAATATCTGTATCTGTAGGAATTTGTATTTCAAAAAGCTAAAATAACAAGTTTCTCTTTTTTCTTAACGTTCTTGGATTAACTTCACTTGAAACCAGAGAGAAAAGCGATAAGACAAAAACACAAACCCAGAAACTGCTGACTCCAGCAGAATGCATTATTTTCCTATAGGACCTTGTTTTTCCAAGTAAGGTACAGATTTAGAAATCATCACCACAATCTTTAGTGTACTTGCAAACACAAGCTGAGTTGCCTGAGCATATATAGTATGTTTGTGTGCTTCACCTCGCCGTTGACAATGACCGAGTCCTGGCTGCGCTCAGAAGATGCAGGTTGGGAGCAGTTATGATGAGCTGTCATGGGCTTTATGGAAACGAGCTGCAGGGAGCCAGAGGAGGAGTCATATGGATCTGAAGAATAGAGTCATTCACAAGAAATATCTATAATTGTTACATTATTTATCAAAGGAGAAAACAATAACCCTCCACACCACAAACCCCCATGTGAATTGAATCAAATAACTGTTGTCTGTCTCCGTAAATGAAGTGTTGAAAAGAATCAATGGATCACAAAGGCAGCTTTCAGCATTCAAGGTTCTGGGAATGCATCTGTGTGATAAATGAACAAAAATTGACTCTGCACTTTTATCATTCGTCTTACATCAACCAAACTGAATTGAGTTCTGGTTTCCCCTAACTCAGCTGATGAATTATTCAGATCCACTCAAATCATATTCTGGCTAGCTTGGTTTAATTGACAAGCAAAGCCTCTAAATGAGATCAATTTAAACCCTCACACCCACCAAGTGAAGAACATTAATCCTCTGAAAGCAGAACTAGAACAACACATCACTCAAAATCATAGTGTCTTTTATAGTGCTTAAAGGGCCATGAGTTGTGAGACTTCTCGTAGTCTTAGTGCACTCTTTCAGTTGAGCATAAGAATGTTCATGTGGCACTGTTTCACAGCATGTGAGAGTCTGCCATCCAAATTTATCTCAACGATGTCTGTCTCATGCATATTCATCTGGTCCAGCTCTGCTAACTGCCATGAGGGATACCTTTCTGACTATAAAAAAGCTGCAGTGCCCGTGCATTTTTTTAGGTGCCTGCTGTGAAAACAATAAAGTGTAATCATGCTAAAATGGAAAAAATAGGACTCTTTTATGACACACTTGACCTTCATGAAAAGGAGGAGTAAAATAAATGATTTGCAGATTCATGTGACTCTCACCGTCCCTCTTGCGGGGCTCCTCCTTTGTTAGTTTCTGCTGTGCTGTGACTTTCGACACAGAGAGGCCTCTGCCGGAATGAAGCTTCTCTGATTCGTTGCTGATGACGAAACCATCTTCACTTGGCAATTTGCTGCGAGTAACCATAGCAACAGGAAAGGCGGTGAGCTCTCAGGATGCTGGGCTCATATCCAGGTTATGTCATCCCTCATTTTCCCAACCTCACCTTATTCTCCCTCTCATTCTCTCAAACTTTGCCATTCAAGCATTCTATTTTGCACAGGGAACTAAGTTTTTGTTCATTTCGAAAACATCACTGTTATTGCTGCCCATTCAGAAAATAGCAACTCTGTTAAGTCGGCCCTGCATGGTTTGGTTATAATTTATAAATGGCTTTGTTTTATATATGTATATACTGGTAAAAAAAAAGGAAAAAAATTATAATAAAAAAAAATATATATATATATATATATATATATATATATATATATA